CTAATCTGTCTAATCTATCTAATCTATCTATCTATCTATCTGTCTATCTATCTATCTACCTATCTATCTATTTATCTATCTATCTATCGATCGATCTATCTATCTATTTATCTATCTTATCAATCTTATCTATCTTATCAATATCATCAAACTTATCTATCTAATATATATAATCTATATTATCTATCTTATCTATCCTATCTATCCTATCTATCTCATCTATCTCATCTATCTCATCTATCTCATCTATCTTATCTATCTTATCTAGTTTATCTATCTAACCTATCTAATCCATCTAATCCATCTAATCCATCTAACCGATCCAATCTATCTAATCTATCTAATCTATCTTATCCATCTTATCTATCTCATCTATCTCATCTATCTTATCTATCTTATCTAGTTTATCTATCTAACCTATCTTATCTACCTAATCTATCCAATCTATCTAATCTATCTAATCTATCTAATCTCTCTACTCTATCTTATCCATCTTATCTATCTTATCTACCTAATCTATCTAATCTATCTTATCTACCTAATCTATCTAATCTATCTTATCTACCTAATCTATCCAATCTATCTAATCTATCTAATCTATCTAATCTCTCTACTCTATCCTATCCTATCCTATCCTATCCTGTCCTATCCTATCCTATCCTATCTATCTGTCTGTCTGCCTGTTTAATCTATATATCTAGTCTATCTAATCTATCTAATCTATCTAATCTATCTCATCTATCTAATCTATCTAATCTATCTAATCTAAACTAATCCAATCTAATCCAATCTAATCTGTCTAATCTATCTAATCTATCTATTCTATCTAATCTATCTAATCTATCGTATCTATCGAATCTATCCAATCTATCTAATCTAAACTAATCCAATCTAATCCAATCTAATCCATTCTGATCTAATCTATCCATCTATCTATCTATCTAGTTTTCTATCTAGTTTTCTATTCTAGTCTATTCTCTTCTATTCTATTCTTTTCTATTCTATTCTATTCTATCTAATCTATCTAATCTATCTAGTCTATCTAGTCTATCTAGTCTTTCTAATCCATCTATAGTTTAAACTATATATGTAAGTGTGCATATGTATATATATATATATTATATATATTATAGATATGTGTGTATATACCTCAGTCTATATCTATCAGTCAGTCAGTCGGTCAGTCAGTCAGTCAGGCAGTCTGTCTGTCTTTCTGTCTGTCTGTCTGTCTGTGCGGTGGTTGATCAAAATTCCTTTATCTGCAAACGGCCATTCTTCGCGAAGAAAAAAATACATTGGCGAATCTTTCGCGAACCCAATGTTTATCTGAATCTTTCGCGGGGATCTCGGGGTCTCATGTTCAAATCTTTCGCTAAAACATTCGCTCAAAACATATTAGTTGTTACTTTCGCGATGGACAATCTCTACACTCTAATGGACCTTTAGATCGAGAATTATGTATACATCTATCGAAATACCATTATTATAATACATATCTTTATTTATATCTACGTCACTGGAAAAAAACAATGGGTGGCATCTGTTCCTGGTATCCAATTATGTGATGTTGGGGATTAAATAAACACCATTAGCTTCAAACTTGCCATGCCAAACAATGTCTTTGCATTGTTCCAGATGCCATATGGAACAACTGGAACATATGAAACAACAAACCGATAAAGAATGTGGAACATAGCATGCCATGCCTCTTGAATGGCACATTTCATTTGCATGTTCAAGGTCCATTGCGGGACGTTTGCTAGCCCTGGAGGCTCCGGCATCCAGCTCCTTTGGCCCGGAGTGGCTTGTCTGGGCCTGAAAAGGCTTCAGCCAAACCATGGAAGGGGAATTGAAATAAACCGAGCAAAACACAAAGAATTGATATGTTTAAGGCTATTGGGACTTGTTGTTAAATCAACTATTGAGTGCGAGAATCTCCCCGCTCCGCAAAGTCAAGTTTGAAAAATCAAGGCAATGCTGCCAGGATATGCCAGGATGATACTCTTGCCTTGACATCCCAACAGGTCATTTTTCGTTCAGCTGGCACACCATGACATACATCATATGTCCCAAGGTCCCTAACTAGCTATATAAACTGGTTGGTCGGTTCGACCCATCTCAGATTGGTCATATTGTTTCCTCAGTCGGGGCTATCATTCAAACAAGGATTGAAAATCGAAACATGAAACGAATAACTCGTCTTTGTCGGATATATATTTATTTATATATATATATATTGTAAACATATTATGCAAATACATATGAACATTCATGGCCATTCTTGCTCGGTAGGATCCCTCATCGCCATTGTCCCCGCCAACTCCGTTCAAGATGTTGACCCGGAGATGTTCTTGTTACAGTTTGAAAATATTAATCCACTTGTTGCATTCACCCCTCGTCCTGTTGGTAAACCAACAATAACAATTCCCAATCCTGACACTCCCTGACAGCCTTTTGCGGAGCTTGTTTGCCTGGCTGCTTCAATTCTGGGCCTGCAAGTCCTTTGTAGAACCACCAATAATTGTCCAAGGTGAAATATATGGCGATGCTACACACTTAAATGGAACTTAAAAAACAAAACAAAAGAATGCCCATTGCCCTTTACATGCTTATATGTTGTTGTTTGAAACTTGGCATGTAGACCCTAACAGTGAACACACAAAGAACGAGCCAGCATAGGGTAGCAGCATTAAACGGATGCGGCATCTGAAATCTGTCATATTTGTCAAGGAATTCCTACGGCGCTGCAACATGATTAGGACATATTAGGACCATCAAAGTGCAAAGATTTTGTTATCTATCGGCACTCTCATGGAATAATCATGCACTCACATCCACTAAAAAAACTTAATAGTTCGGTAATTGGAACTTTCACGAAGAATTAATCAGCTGCTGTTGATGGAAAAACCTGCACGAATAAATTTAGATGTACCAGGCAGCAGGATAAGTGTTTTCACTCCCTACAATGACACTCGTCTGGGGGGATGGGTGTGGTTTTGGTTATGTTCAGAGTAGTGCAACAAATGGATGTAGGCTGGGCTATGTTCAGAGTGGCGGTGTAGGGGATGGGTGCAGCTTTGCTGATGTTCAAAGTGGCGGTGTAGGGGGATGGGTGTAGCTTTGGCTATGTTCAAAGTGGCGGTGTAGGGGGATGGGTGTAGCTTTGGCTGTGTTCAAAGTGGCGGTGTAGGGGGATGGGTGTAGTTTTGGTGATGTTCAAAGTGGCGGTGTAGGGGGATGGGTGTAGCTTTGGTGATGTTTCAGAGTTGTGGTTTTGGGGGGATGGGTGCAGTTTCGGCTATGTTCAGAGGTGTGGTATAGGGGGATGGGTGTAGCTTTGGCTAAGTCGCACGTTATCTCCAACAACAGGCCAACCCCCTCCAGCATGGTGAGCCTTCCGCCTTTGGCACATGTGCCTCGTCAGGTTGACCAACCACCACCCAGTTCTGGGATGATTCTTCCCTCGGGGGGCTCATCCCTCTATCTGCGTCCTCGAAGTTACACTTTTCGTTTTTTTTAACCTAATCCCTGCTAGGGTTTCAGTAAGTCTGTTTAATTGGAAGGACATATTTTCTGACCTTGTTATCGTTACTCTAATGGTTGGCCACTTGCCTAGTTGTGGATTGTCATAACTGCCCACAACAACACAAACCAGGTGTAGAGACAAATTTCAGCAATTCCAGCTCCCCAACACCCCTTCAAACCTGCCAATGTTCATTCGGGGTCACGTCAGCGATGACATTATCAACTCCCCACATCAATATGATGCCAGTCCCAAACAAAATTCCATCGGAATCCAACATCCCAAGAAGCAACTCACATCAATCCAATGCAGCCAAAACGCTATTTTGAGTTTTCGGAGAGGTGCCATGACAGACTAGACCAGACAGTTCATACGCAAATCTGTGCACATGTACGCGACAAGTTATGTACAAATGTGTCGTGTATATATATAATACGTATGTAATAAAAACATAAATTGTATGTACGTGGTTATATATTATATATATACACAAATTTTTAGATGCACATATTCTTCTCTAGGCAAACATACATGTATGTAAATGTAAGTGTACAGTCGCCCATATCCATGAACACAAAACGCTGGTAAAAGCCACACACTGTATCGGGAATAGATTTGAAAGCTGCTGAAGCCAGAACAGCTAACGGGCCTACTCTTATGCACGGGCACTGCATTGTTTCAACATGTTTATGAAGCTAGGAAATACAAGGCTAACATCTTAATTGGGTTCACCCCCTCTTTTTGTTGTGGTACATGCGGGCCCCCTTGCAGAATCAGTTTACATGGACAAGGGTGGAACCAAGAGCTATAGGGACCTGACCAGGGTTGCACCAGTTCCCGGATTAGCTGCATCTCATTTTCATTTTCCCAATGGGAAATCCACCATTTGGAAGTGCCATTAAAACAATCCTCTATTTACAGTTAACCAGTTAGCTTATTTTTTGGATTTCCTTCCGACCCCACATTAAAGTTGCAATGAAACATGTCCAGGCTTTCCAACGCATTCAAATGACATCTAACATTTTGACAGCGCAGAAAACAAGCGCATAGGGTTTTATGGACCTGAATCTCGATTCCTGGACATATCGTTTTCAGGGACAATTTCGATCCACACAAGTAATTATATAAAATAAGTTACAAGAATGTATATACATTCATGTATATATATATATATATATATGTATGTTATTATGTATATATATATATATATGTATAATCATGTATATATATATATGTATTATGTATATATTATTTACACCTGATTGCATTTGTATACATGCAAAGGGTGTAAAATAAACTCGGAGGGGCAAACACAACAGCATCGCGTTGTATATTTACAATGTGTATTGAAGGCTAATTGGGTGTAATCTTGGTGCGTGACTACAATATCTACAACCCTATCAAAGTATACCAAAAGAGTTCTCTTAAAATGGTGGGTGCCACCTTATCTTCTAATGCACCCTTTGCCAACCATTTTTTCCAGCTTTGTGCTCAAGAACGCTTCAGGTCCTTGACTGGCTGCCCTGTTTTTCAAATCCGACCTGGGTTGGCATTTCTTCGCCCGGAATCTAAACTGGGTAAATTCGGCAAACAATCTAAAAACGCGACTCATTTTTGAACATTGGGGTATTTGTTATTGTGCCCTGTGTCGATGACCGATTTCGTCATGATCCCCGTGTGGTGCCAGGGGGGTGGAACCGATAAAAACATAATATAAAATGCAGGGGCCTAAGAACAAAATGCCAATAAAATGAGAGGGCATAAGGTAAAATAGGATAATCCAAGCAAAATACAATGGACAAACACAAAGAGAAGATGGCGTCGGGCCCCCCACCTGGCAACTGTTGGGCGTCAGGCCCCGGCATGTTTTTTTTCCGTTATATAGATTTGAATATTCCTTAGATCGTTGACAGGCATTTGCACAATATGATATGCATAATCACTACAGTTTCAGAACTTAATTCATCTCTAGCATTTTTGTTATACATTTGGATTATATAGGATAATCGTTCTTACTCACGATCCTTTCATCTCAACAATTGCTGTTTCAGTTTCATATGCTCCATAATGTCCAAGTGATTCCAAATCTCTGGAAGGTTTCACAGAATGATCAGACCGTTCACAGCTGTGCATCTTTGCTATCATGCTATCTCTGTCAGTTAACTTGATGGGTTGGGCCCCTCAAAAGTATAATGCACCCACAATGTTCCATATTATTTGATGGATAAATGGGAGTATAGGCCATTTTCCGACACACCCATTTGGTCACAAAACTACTGGCAAAATGAGTTGGTTGCCTCTGAGTTGGATACCCAAAATCAACAGCTTCATTCAAAAAAAACATAAACTATGATTAAGTTAATCACTACAGACTCTGGCAGCTGAATAGATTCCGTACTAAACCGTAGTTTCCTTTCAGGGGCATTCAGGGGGAAGGGATGAGAAGGATGAGTCAAGTGCGTCTTGTGCGACAAGCCACAGCTTGGCCCAAGAGATTTGACCGCAGAGGAACAGCGAAAAACTGAATGGTGGAGCTTAACAACTCGTTCGAGGTCAACTGGTTGGTGGTATACCAACGCCTTTGAAAAATATGAAAGTCAGTTGGGCTTAATATTCCCAATATATGGAGATAAAAAAAATTCCAAACCACCATTCAGATAAGAAAACAGATATAAAAAACAACAAAAATGAAGAGTATCAATTAAATCATAAGAAAAAAACGATCACATGAAGAAGAACCAGGTGGATTTGACCACACTGCAACTTGTAATTAAACCTTAGGCATGGACGGTCGCTGTACCCTCCGGTCATCAGCTACATGGCTTTCATTGGAAGATCACAAGGTGGTACTCCCCCCAGTTATAAATGGGTTATAGTCCCATTGGCTATAGATGTAATTAGATGTATCACCAACAAAAACCGTAGCTATTGGACTTATAAAATCTGATAAACCAACTTAGCTAACGAACTGGGGAACCACCCTGCATGTACAGATGGGGAATTGTTCATTGCCATGTTTGATTGCCAAAGAGTAAGTCTTTCTTGTTTTTGCGGAATGGCTGCCTTTCTTACTTTGAATTGGGTTGGTTCACATTCTCATATCCTGATGGATATTGCTGGCCATGGCTTCCCCTTTTCACGACCATCAGGAAGGACATATGTTTGACCAAAACTTATACCCTCTGGTAAACTAACATAGCTATTGAAAATGGCCATAGAAATTGATAATTTACCTAGGAGAAATGGTGATGTGATGTTCCATAGTTTTGTGGGACTGTTTACCAGAGGGTATCCTTTAAATCCAAAAATTACTGCACATCTACCATCTTTGGGGTGAATCCTAATCTGAATTGACCATACGCAAGGTGTTTCTATATGGAGGTTTCCTAAGTCATGGGGGTACCCCTGTTCTTCATCCATTTTTGATTGTGATTGTCCATTCAAGTCCATTACAAACCATCCAGCTATTGGGGGTATCCCCATTTATGGAACAGAGATTCTTCATCCGAGCTGCTGTAGTAAGCAAAGATGCTTCGGAAATGCCACTGCAGCGTGGCAATCAGAGGCATAAGTTCCTTGCTTCTTGGCAGGCTCATATTCACTGGTCTGGTTTTCTGGGAAAACTGGGAAAGGCATGGCGCCATGGATGAACTGGCCGGCCAAATGCAGGGTTTCAGGCTTCAGGTACATGTTCCCTTCATACAAATCGGGTAATTCCATATAATTCCTAGAGGATTCTCGAGGACTTCTTGTGTTATGTGCCTGGGCAAGGCTAATGCCGAAAAAAACGCGGGTTTTACGTTTTCCCAACAACAAAAATGAACAAAGAAGGGTTTGTCCAAAGATAGGAGACCCCATCCCATTCAATCCATCACATGATCAGCTGATGGTATCGCAAGCCATGGGTTGCAGGGAAAATGTAAAGGACATATGATTAAAAATTGTTTTGTAACATAGCTCATGATATGTTCAGCAACGTTCCAGTGGTTTCGAAATGAACAAGTGCACACCACAAACGCACCGCAAATCAAACAATCTACAGTAGGGAAACACACATTATTCATCAAAAGGCAATCAAACATTTTCTTTGTGTTCCAAATATGTCCCAGATGTTCCATGTATAATAATATGGATAAATGTTGGTAAATATTCCATACATGGAGCATCTGGGTGTGTAAATCCCAGAACCATCCACAATGTTTTCGGGGGGTGCATGTCATATGAGGGAATGGGATTATATTACCATGAAAAATCTCCACAAATCGGACGGTAATATAATTATACCAGTAGTACCGCACAAGGCGGTGGCGGAAGTTTCAAAAATAGGAAACCTATAGGAGAGTTTGGTTGCTGTGAATCAGGGATGGCAGAGCGAAGCCACTGATGGACCGAAAGGTGCTTGAGGTCTCCTCTCTTTCTCTCTCTTTCTCTGACTATCTACTTACCTACCAGCCTATCTTCTATGTATCTATCTATTTATCGATCTATCTATCTATCTCTCTTTCTCTCTCTTTCATCTGTCTATCTGTCTAGCTGTCTACCTGTCTATCTATCTATCTATCTATCTGTTTGTCTGTCTGTCTATCTGTCTACCTGTCTATCTATGGTGCAGTGTCATCCAGTCTAATGCAGTGTAGTGTACTGTAGTGTAGTGTAGTGTAGTGGAATGTAGTGTAGTGCAGTGTAATGTAGTGTAGTGTAGTGTAATTTAGCGTAGTGTAAATTAGTGTAGTGGAGCGTAGTGGAGTGTAGTTGTAGTTGTAGTTGTAGTTGTCGTGTAGTTGAGTGTTGTGTAGTGTAATGTAGTGAAGTGTAGCGGAAGGTAGTGTAGTGTAGTAGTGTAGTGTAATGTAGTGTAGTGTAGTGTAATTTAGTGCAGTGGAGTGTAGTGGAATGTAGTTGGGTAGTTGTAGTGTAATGTAGTGGGATGTAGTGTAGCGTAATGTAGTGTAGTGGAGTGTATTGGAGTGTAGTTGTGTAGGTGTAGTTGTAGTGTTGTGGAGTGTCGTGTAGTGTAATGTAGTGAAGTGTACTGGGAGTAGTGTAGTGTAGCGTAATGTAGTGTAGTGTAGTGGAGTGTAGTGTAATGTAATCTAGTGTAGTGTAATTGAGTGTAATTGAGTGCAGTGTAGTGTAGTGTAGTGTAGTGGAGTGTAGTTGTGTAGTTGCAGTTGTAGTTGTAGCGTAGTGGAGTGTAGTGTAGTGTAATGTAGTGAAGTGTAGTGGAAGGTAGTGTAATGTAGTGCAGTGGTGTCTATCTGCCTGCCTGTCTGTCTATCTATCTATCCATCCATCTATCCATCCATCCATCCATCCGAATCCATCCATCTACCGTGTACTGATACGATCCTCATATTCCTAATTGAAACTTCAACAGCTCCTACAGTGTTAACACAACAGACTACAAAGACAGGACAAAATCTAGCACATCCCTCTGACGCGTCTCCCTCACGGTGTCGCCGCAGTGTGTTTTTTTCCAAGCAACAACGGACAAGAATCTTCGGCTGGGCTTGCAATAAAGTACAAATGCTCGAGCGCATCATCGTGCAATCAGAAAAGACATACACGCTGGCCTGCAACGAATGCCAAGTGCTGGTTGGCCATCGCGCGGTCAGAAAAGTCACACACGCTGACATGCAACGAATTCCGGCTGGTGATGTGACCACACACGCTGACATGCAACGAATTCCGGCTGGTCATGTGACTTCGTACCGTCACAGAAGTGCCAACGGATTTTCGGGTTGAAGGATTTTAGGGTTACAAAAAAATTAGGGCTAAACGGATCTTAAGGTTAAAGGATTTCGGGCTCAAGGCATCGTAGGGTTAAAGGATTTAGTGTTAGAGGATTTGTGGTCAATCCACTTTGGGTTTACAGGATTTTAGGGTTAAAATGCCGTAGGGTTAACAAACTTTAGCGTTAAATCGTGATCGATTATAAACACTAGTTAAAGCGATTTAGGGTTAAAAGCATCTTAGGGTTAAAGGATTTAGGGGTTAAAATGTCTTAGGGTCCAATGGGCTTAGGAATAAAGGATTTTAGTGTAGCGCTGACAGCCTCGTACCAATGCGTTTTGCGATTTTTCCACTCCACCTGTCTAAGTATTGCGCTTGCCACGGAAAATTAATGCCAGGTCGTACGAAGTGCTGCCCCTGTCACGCAAAATCATCTTAGCAAACCTACAGATCGGATGCTCCAAAATGCAGTTTACTTTGCATGGCTGGCTCTGGTGGCGCGCTTGGGTCTGGCAAGCGCCGCAGGACTTTGCGTGGCAGGTGTGGCACCACACAAACTCCGGCGGCGCCCGCCAGACCCAAGCGCGTCACCAGAGACAGCCCAATGCCATAATAAGTGCCACGCCTGCCACGCAAAGTGGAGGTCGATGTGATCAAGGACAACGCCTGCCACGCAAAATGAAGGTTGATGTCACCAAGTGCCACCTGCCACGCAAAGTCCCGCGGCGCCCCAGACCCAAAAAAAGGTTACACCCCCCTTGTTCTTTTACATTTTGGATTCTTCATGATTTTTTGTCCTTATTGTTCACTGGGCTCCTCATTGTAACACCACTGCATATTGCCGATTTTACACGATCAGCTGCCAGAAAAAAAAGGTAAGGAGCCTTCATCTGCTGCGCAGGCTTGAAAGAATGGGTTCGGAAGATTTTGGAAGGGTTTGGTTTGGCTTGGTGCCGAATGGCCTGCAGAGGCTTTCAAAATTACAGAGATTATCAGGGTATATTCCCACACATCTCCTAAAACCGGGGCCCATGGCAAAGGCAAACTGCTGCTGACCCCCCAAGTGCATACATTCATGTTACTTCATCTGCACTCCCCCTCCAAATTTCGCACCCCCCCGCTCCAATTTTGGGAATTAACTTATGGGGTTAGGTGGCCTCCTATGGTTTGGCAATCTTAGATTTCAGGGGGAGGGGCCTCAAAAGCGTCATGCTATTTCGTAAGACTCCCTAGAAAACTCCATGAGCATCAAAGACCTATGGCCTTGCAAAATCAATGTATGAAACCACCTCCCCACCTTTTCTAAACAAGCTTTTGAAGCCAAATACTGAAAATGTATTGGGAGCACCCCCCCACCTCTTTAGGTAATCTCGTAATTTTACCAAAAAATCAAAGGACCGGAAAACACCACAAGTCAACTCCTTCCAATAATCAGACAAAGTCGTTGAAGCGGCACGGAGAAAGAAGAAAGGACAAAGGTGTGCGATAAAGTGAATGGAGTGGAGTGGAGTGCAGTGGAGTGGAGTGGAGTGGGGTGGGGTGGAGCGGAGCGGAACGGAGGTGAGGTGAGGTGAGGTGAAGTGAGGTGAGGCGAGTGGACTGGGGTGGGGTGGCGTGGAGCGGGGTGGGGTGGAGTGGAGTGGAGTTAGAATGGAGTGGAGTTGGAGTGGAGTGGAGTGGGGTGGGGTGGAGCGGAGCGCAGGTGAGGTGAGGTGAAGTGAGGTGAGGCGAGTGGACTGGGGTGGGGTGGAGTGGAGCGGGGTGGGGTGGAGTTGGAGTGGAGTGGAGTTGGAGTGGAGTGGAGTGGAGTGGAGTGGAGTGGAATGGAGTGGAGTGGAGTGGAGTGGAGTGGAGTGGAGTGGAGTGCGTGAGTGAGAGAGAGAGAGACAGAGAGAGAGAGAGAGAGACAGAGAGAGAGAGAGAGATACATATATATGTATATGTATATATGTATGCATGTGAAAGCCTGCCACGCAAAGTCCCGCGGCGCCCGCCAGACCCAAGCGTGCCAGAGCCAGCCCACTGCAGTGCCATAAGTGCCACTCCTGCCACGCAAAGTGACGGTCGATGTCACCAAGTGCCACACCTGCCACGCAAAGTCCCGCGGCGCCTGCCAGACCCAAGCGCACCACCAGAGCCAACCCAGTACCATAAGTGCCACGCCTGCCATGCAAAGTGAAGGTCGATGTCGCCAAGTGCCACACCTGCCAGGCAAAGTGAAGGTCGATGTCACCAAATGCCAAGCCTGCTACGCAAAGTCCCGCGGCGCCCTCCGGACCCAAGCGCGCCACCAAAGCCAGCCCAGTGCCATAATAAGTGCCGCGCCTGCCACGCAAAGTGGAGGTCGAATACCAAGTGCCACACCTGCCACGCAAAGTGAAGGTTGATGTCACCAAGTGCCACACCTGCCACGCCAAGTCCCGCGGCGCCCGCCGCCAGACCCAAGCGCGCCACCAAGCCAGCCCAGTGCCACAAGTGCCACGCCTGCCACGCCCAGCCTGTGTGAGTAAGTTGTGTGTGAGGAAGTTGTGTGTGTGTGTGGACAAGTTGTGCGTGGACAAGTTGTATATGGACAAGTTGTCTGTGATCAATGTTGCGTGTGTGTGTGTGACAAAGGTGCGCGTGGACAAGTTGTGTGTGTAATCAAATTGCGTGTGTGTGTGCGTAAGTTGTGTGTGAGCAAGTTGTGTGTGTGTGAGTAAGTTGTGTGTGTGTGGACGAGTTGTGGGTGTGGACAAGTTGTGTGTGTGTGAGTAAGTTGTGTGTGAGCAAGTTGTGTGTGAGCAAGTTGTGTGTGAGCAAGTTGTGTGTGTGAGCAAGTTGTGTGTGTGTGTGAGTCAGTTGTGTGTGGACAAGTTGTGTGTGGACAAGTTGTGTGTGGGCAAGTTGTGCGTGTGTGTGCGTGTGTGCGTGTGTGTGAGCAAGTTGTGTGTGAGGAAGTTGTGTGTAAGCAAGTTGTGTGTGAGTAAGTTGTGTGTGAGTAAGTTGTGTGTGGACAAGTGTTTGTGTGTGGACAAGTGTTTGTGTGTGGACAAGTTGTGTGTGGACAAGTTGTGCGAGTGTGTGTGTGACACATCTGAATAGATGTAAAACTTCTATGGTTGTTATTAACTTTATTCGCAGGGGGCGACAGGGTCGCTGCATGGCTGTCGCCAACGAAGCTCCATGCAGTTGACTAGGATATGGAGTCTGATCAACTCCACGTACCTGCATCCAGTTTCTGATTATTCGTGATGGGAAGTGGCTAACC